TAACTGACGAACAATACCAAATGTTTGCCAACCACTTCGCAGGAACTAACGACAACTCGAAGGAAAAGGAAACATCAATGGAAAATATGGCAGGTAGATAAAATGGTAACGAAGAATCGTTTGTTGATTCGGGTTGCACCGAACATATAACACATTGATCTGATCTCCTTGAAAACAGGAGAAGGCTCCTTATGAGGCTCCAGTTATTATACCAAATGGTGAAGCTATTCCTGTCGAGGAAAAAGGCGATTACACCTTTCCTGGAGGAGTAAAGTTAAATGGGGTTCTCCATGTTCCAAATTTCAATTGCAATATCCTTTCTGTTAGCCGATTGAGTAAAGATCTTCAATGTGATATAACATTCTTTCCCGACTTTTGTGTTATGCAGGGGTTGCGTATGAGGGACTTGATTGGTGCGGGTAGATGCAAAGGATGGTTGTACCAAATAGGGATGGTGGATGGAAACAGGAGGGCATTGATGACAACGGTTGACACATGGCACAAGAGACTTGGGCATGCCTCAAAGGAGAAGCTTTTTGGAGTTGAACCCCTTAAGAATATTTCTTTTGATCATAAAAATAATATTTGTGATTCTTGTGCAAAGGCAAAACTTACCAGAACACCTTTTCTTGTTAGTTCAATTAAAACCAATGATTGTTTTAAATTCATCCATTGTCACTTATGGGGTGGTTATCGTATTCCATCATACACACGGGCAAATTATTTCCTCACAATAGTTGATGACTTTAGCAAATCGATGTGGGTTTTTCTTATTAAGCATAAAAACGATGTTAATACATGTCTAATCAATTTTTGCAAAATGGTGGAGGTTCAATTTAGAAAAGTTATTAAAAGAGTTAGATGTGATAATGGGGTGAATTCACATTCAATTCTACGATGGAATTTTATCACCAACAAGGAATCTTAAGGGAAACCACCTGCCCACACACAACCCAACAAAATGGAGTCGTCGAGAGGAAACATAGGCACATTCTTGAAATAGCTCGTGCCTTGAGATTTGAGGCAAACCTTCTCAAAAGATTTTGGGGAGAATGTATTTTGACAGCAACCTATATAATCAATTGTCTCTCCAAAGTTATATAAAGCAAGACTCCCTACGAGTTGGTTTTCAATCAAAAAACTGAATATAATCACATGAGAGTTTTCAGTTGTCTTACCTACTTTAAAAATAATAATACCAAAGGAAACAAGTTCGAAGAGAGGGAGAGTCCGGGAATATTTCTGGATTATCCACAAGGGACCAAGGGCTACAAGGTATACGATATCAAACATGGAAAAATTATTGTTAGTAGAGACGTTGTCGTTTAGGAAAACTCTTTTCCTTTCAAAAAATTTCCAAGTTCGATGAAAGGGATGAGGGCACTGAAATTTTGCAGTATCCAACTAGGACCATAGAGGAAACACAGCCTATGGATCAACCTAGTGAGCCCATTGACAACTGAAACGAGCCCAATGCTAGCGAGATGGACCTAGAGGTCGAGGATGATGTCACAGACTTGTTGGTGGATAATGAAAACTTCATCCATGGAGAAGAGGGTCGACCACAGAGTGTTGACCGAGATTTTATGGATCAAAATAATGATGGTCACAATGTTGATGAGCAAACAGAGAACAGAAGCAAAAGGGCTAAATCACAACTAAAACGGTTTCATGACTACATAGTCAAGCTTCCCCCATTGGTCGACCACACGCAACCCATAACCGATCAAGCTTCATCTACGGTACAACCTATTGCAAATTTTATTTCTTATGGAAAATTTTCTGACGCTCACAAAGCTTTCTTATCGGCTATCACTTCAAATGATGAGCCAAAGTATTTCAAACAAGCAGCGCGAGATGAGCCCTGGAAAGAAGCCATGAAACGTGAAATTCAGGCCCTTGAAAAGAATAGAATGTGGACTCTTGAAGACTTATCAAAGGAAAAGAGAGCCATAGATTCAAAATGGGTCTACAAATGGAGAAGTTGAGAGCTTCAAAGCACGGCTCGTTGCTAAAAGATTTACATAATTGGAAGGCGTGGACTTTCATGACACGTTTGCTCTGGTTGCCAAGTTGGTCACCATTAGAACAGTTCTAACGGTTGCAGCTAAGAAGGATTGGATTATTCACCAACTTGATGTGAATAATGCATTTCTACATGGAGATTTAAATGAAGAAGTGTATATGAAGATTCCTCAAGGTTTTTCCAAAGAAGGGAAGACTCGAGTTTGTCGACTTCGAAAATCCCTTTATGGTTTGAAACAAGCGTCACGCAATTGGTACCAAAAGTTCACATCTTCTCTCATTGACCAAGAAATTCAAGAAGTCCAAGGTTCACACACAAAGAAAAGGGTTTGTTTGTTGATGCGCTTATTTATGTTGATGATGTTCTTTTAGTCGGAAATAATTCTTTGAAAATCCAACAAACCAAGAAACATCTTGATGAGGAATTTAGCATCAAGGACCTTGGTTCTTTGAAATATTTTATTGGCATTGAGGTGGCAAAAACATCATATGCTTTAGTCCTAAGTCAACGAACTTGATTGAGCCTTCATAAACTTAAGTGACAACTAATTAAATGTATTGCATTAGCCTTCATGGGTTTCAGTGGCCCTTAATTGTCTTGATGAGTCGGTGAAAACCCAGTTTCTAACAGTGGTCTGTATCTATGTTGTAAATATGTATGTAATGATGTATAATGTGTGTGTGTGTGTATATATGTAGTGGATGTATGTATGCATGTAGTATATATATATATATATATATATATATATATATGTATATTAGATAGAACAGCTGGAAAAAAGACCAAAATAATATGACAAACCCACGATAACTGGAAAAATATTATAATTGCTCGAATGGTCCCGATGTCTTTCTATACCATGGATTTATATGATTATGAGTTGGGTTGGGGTTGTACTTTTGTTTGAGTTGATATTTTTAAACCAACCCAACCTGCATGACAAACCTTTTAGAACATTGAGTTGAGTTGTTTAAATGTTTTCACCAAGACAAAGACAACCAAAAATGTGTAGCCCCACCCAAACCTTAGGGGCCATGAAGAGGCCAATATGTTTTTCAAAACGTGACTTATGACATCAAATCTGTGCACATCCTATATACAATTTTTATAGTAATTTACACACTGATTTTCTTCTATTACTTTTTGAGTCGATGATATTGACCAATTCAAATTAAGGTATATACTAAAAACACAAAATTAAGATAGTAAAAGGTAAAAAAAATATTAATCAAATAACACATTACAGACAATACGAGTCGAACCATGGTGTGCAAACAAACTTCACGTGCAAGGCCGTTCCAAATTTTATGGAAGCCCTGTTACACAAGAGGTTGAAAAGGAACCGAACGAACATGGACGGAGGTGATATACCCTCGGGTTCTATTACACAGTAAGGAAGTAAGTCGAAAGTTATTCATATACGAAAATGTATTCATGTTTGTTCGTTTATAAAATAAACAAACATAAACGACCTTCCCACCGAACGATTTACGAACGGTCGTGAAATGTTCGGTTCATTTACAACCCTAGTTACAGTAATATCAAAACTATGATTGAGTGGATATGAAATAAATAAACAAAATATAAAAATTTACACCATATATTATATTAAAAGTCTTACAAATTAAAACAATAAAGTTATCTTAACAAAAATAATCATTTAAATAGAATCATTCCTCTAACATTGTTGAAAACAGTAAAATTGGATTAATTCTTCATAATCAACTTTTCCTAGTCTTACCCGATATGTCATAAAATTGAAACTTTGAAATATTAGCATATAAGAGTTTACTAACTATTCATCTCAAGTTATCAAGAAACCCTAGCTCGTTCCTAGGCTAAATTCTCCTAAACTATATTTTGTGCGTGTTTTCAAAGGGTTATAAGGCTCCGAACAATAGCGATTAGTATCACGATAAACAAAGTCAAGGAAATTGGAGGTGAGACTGCTCGTCGAACAAGAAGAGAGAAACATATAAAAAGAAAGTGAAAGATTATTAAATAAGATCATGTTCGGTGCTTTAATTATAAAATTAGTCATCACGAAAACATGATAGATGAAGGGGACTAGCCAATAAGAGAGATCAATCTTTAAATTAGAGACCGAAGGATAAGGATTGCATATTTGCAATCGTAACCAGAAATAGACAATTCTGTTAGAAGATGGAAGGAATTGGGGAACTGGGATAATTTGCTAAAATATTAACATGAGCTAATGGTTAAAATACATATATAATTAGAGATTAACAACATATATAATTGGGTCCAAAAAAAGATTGCGGGACCAAAAAAAATTAGAAGCCTATTCGAAATCTCACATTGGTACATCATCCGACACGACCCTGTTAACGTGATGTCATAGACGAGTTTTGAGGTCTAACATGCCACGACGACTATCGGCGAGCCTCTTAGGACATTGATTGAGAATAGAAGGTTAATAAAATAAGCAGAACAGACAAATACGTTAGTTAGAGAGAGAAATTTGATTTAGTAGAATCATGATTCATGAACATGCAAATAGGTTTATGGAGATGCTCTTAAGAAAACCGCCATCCTATCGGTTGAGATAGAGGAAGAATTCGTGTATAATCGCCTTTTTAATCACAACTAGAATAATGAGTATTTTCGGCGCATTTTTTTGTGGACGGTAAACTAATCACCGGCGCCAACTTTTCCGACAGTGATATCCGCCGATAATATGCATTTCCGGCGGATAAGGCTGCGGGAAAAGGTCCCCTGTTTGGTAGTGAATATATTGGGTTCATTGATGTGGTTTTGTTTGATCGATCATAGTTTTTCCAAAACAAAGATATATTCCAATTCTTTTTTCTTTTCTGCAAATCTTCACTCCAATCAAGGAGTAACCACAGATCATTTCCCTTCACTATAATCAACTTATGAAGAATATGTAATGGAAATCCATACCTTAACTTAGCTCGTGAATTGCAATCATCCTACCCTAGATTCTAGATAATCAGTTACCGTTATGATGATCTTTGGCGTCGTGAAATTCTGCATCGTCCTTGGTTGCACCACCGCCACCTTCACCACCATCGTCTTTTTCATCAGAATACCTTACCACCACAACAGGGCAAACACAATGGCGTACACAATAATCACTAACACTTCCAAGCCGCCCCTTCGCCGTCCGTTTCACAGCCCCAAATCCTCTACTCCCCATGATCATGGCGCTCAACCCCAGCCTCTCTACCTCCAAACAAAGCCTCTCTTTCAAATCATGATCCTTCACAATATGAATCTTGAACGGAACATGAGCCTCCACCAGTGGCTGAGACAGGTTGGTGGTTTTGGTGTTGGTGAATTTATCGTAATCGTCTTCCAGTTTCTTCTGTGATTCTACCGAGTGTGATGTGGCGTCTGTTGCATGCCCCCAATCAGCACCGTAGAGGACGGATGTGGGGCGAACGTGAAGGAGGATGACGGAGTCACCTCGACGGACATAGTTCTTAACAGCCCATTGAACGGCAAAGGCACTCTCGTCGCTAAGATCAACGGCTATTCCGATGCGGCGTTGGGCTCCTGAGGTAGGAGTTGATACAGGTGGTGGATAGCGTGGGGAAGATGGTGGGTCTGCATGAATGGTGGAGACTGTAGGGATGGGACCTTTCATTGAATGAATGAATGAGGTTGTGGATCGGAAAGTATGGCTGATTTTTGTTTTCGTTTCAGTTGTTTTGGGTGATTTAGAGAGAGAAAAAAGCAAAATATTGAGGAGAGAGTGAAGGGATAGTTTGGTGGAAGGTGTCAATGAGACCGAGGATGAAGGTCGGAGAGAGAAGTCATAAACTCAAGCATCAAAAACCAATTGAGCTTCGAAAATACCAAATGCAGCTTTCAATATTAATTTAGAGTAAATTAGAGTTACACTCTTGGTCCATAAAATGAAATAATTGTATTGAACAATCCCGTGGTTTACATTTTGGTACGAGTTGAGCCCTCTCCGTAATTTTTCATTAGAACTTTAAAAATGTATTATATATCAGTTAAAGATGTGGTTGAAAATAAACTTTAGGAACTGATGTAATCCACACCGTTGATTATCTGCATGCACTATTGAAATTGGTTTGTAAAGTTACGTGGTTTATATTTGAGAGAGGGGGGCGGGATGTATTCAAACAATACATTAAGAAAACGCAAAAACACCTTTAACTATTACAAGTCGCACAAGTCACCAGCAAACCACAAGGTACCCTCACGTATATTATCGTATTTGATATTGGCATTCTCATGTTTTCGTAAAATGAAGGTGTTCTCATTTGAAATTCCACCTATATATATATATACATACATACACACATATGCACACAAGGAGAGAGAGAGAGAGATGGAACTACGAAAGATCACGAACCTGTACTCCAACCATCAACTTGGTCATTTCAGCCAAATCCTTCTCCAACTCCTCCGCATCTTGCTTGTAATCCACTAGATTCAGTTGTATGTCGTTGGACATCTAAAATATCTATATTGATAACAAACTGACATGCTCGTCTGGTGCTAACTTGCTCCTCTAGTTTCACATATGACGGTATCTCGAGCTAAATTGCATCCTCCGGTGCTGAGACCCCTATCTCGAGATCCCCTACTATGACCAACGACATGCCCCCTCTTCTATAGGTGCGGAGCCCCGCTAGATGTTGACGCCAGATCTTTTTCCGTGGCCTTCGCTTTGTGCTGGGCAACTTATTTTTTGATCCCTTATTAGTTTAGAAGATTTGACGTGTGACAAACATTGTAAGAAAATACTTAGGGGCCGTTTACCAAACCCTAGTTTAATTATATGTATGTGTGACAACACTCCTATTTGATGTGTGACAAACGTTTATTAAATTATTTGAATGTAATATATAATGTAAATAACTAATGTGATGAAATTAGTAAAACATATATTGAACTTGGACTACATCAACCTCATTAATCAAAGTAACCTTATTCCAAGTGGTGATTTTTTTTGTATGTATACAATATTTATCATCATTATTTTGCAGCAAAGTGTGACATTAAACAACCAGACCGACAGACCCCCTCCCTCATCCAAAATTCTTGGCTCTGCCTCCGATGTTAATTATATGAAGATAGAAACTAAAGCAACCAGATGATGGAAACAATTCAAGATCAACATATAAAGTGCTAAACATATGATGAAGATAACAGATGGAAGCCTACCCCTGATCAACCAATGTTCAACAGCGTCAGATGATCCTACTTAACAGATGATGCCTAATAGTGGACTAACTCATTAGCTAAAGACGTTTGTATTTGAAGGTCTACAAGTTGGAAGATTATCTTGGATAATACTCTTGCTAAAAATAGTGGTTCTTCAAAAGATACAACAAGCTTAAAGACGAAGGTACAATATGACATACCAACTCAAAATTACTTTTTTCACTTTTGTCAACTTGAAAGGGACGTTTTCCATTAAATGAGTCATGGTTTACTTTTAATACGTCGAGCTTTGCATTAAATACATTATGATTGTAACCACTACAAGGAGGAGACATCCTAGACTCAACCAGATGAGAAGTGATTTAAAAGCTCATATAGGACCTACCTTACCATTTGTAACACCCTCAAATTTGGAAAAGACGACTAAATAAAATTTTCCAAAAATACATCAACAAGGATTTAATCATTTTCTTTAAGTCCATGACTGATTACCTATAATGGCATTCTAAGATTAACATCAATAAAATATATTCCAACCTTTACACAAATCTACATTATGGGACACGTGTTACTAAAACCTAATGACATACGTTATCACCAACATGCAAAAGAAGTCCCTTGGATAACTAAATTTCTTCTCATCCCTTTAACTAGCATTCATCGCATTAAAGTTCCTCTAGTACCATTCTCCCAAGGACCTAATGCACATGTCGACAAAAAAAAAGGTTAGGTGTTAACACCTAGTGAGTTCAAGCAGTTTTCATCAATTATATAAAATGTAAAATGGAGGGAATATTATTTAACTCACATTTCTAATATGAAATGCATTTAGAATGAAAGCAATATCTTTCCAAAACCCACCGTTTTCATGATGGAAAACTCAATAATCAAAACAACCATCAAAATGAAGTTAAGAAAAGACTTTAATGAAGATGACATTAAAAAAGCTGGCATTTGATGACAAAGCTATAAACATTTTTACTCTGTCTATCAATGATGACTTGTTTAAGTCCATTAAACCTTAGAACACTAGCAAAGAGATGTGGGAAACTTTGTCAATCTTACTTGAAGGTACTGATAAAGTAAAAGAAAACAAAAGAACTTAACTTGTTGAACAGTATGAACTTTCAGTGTCAAATCAAGTGAATCATTAACTCAAGTATGATACTGTTTTTAGAAATAAAAATCTTCTTGTTAAATTCCTCAAAGGTCTTCCTCCTATTTTGGTACAATATTGCTACAGGCTTTAGACACTTTAAGGATCTAGAGGAGATATAATTACAAGCTCTGGATGGTCACTTAATCACTTATAAACTTCAGTTAAATCAAATGGCTAGCAAAGCCAAGCAAAAATACACATCTCTTGCACTTATGGTCATTGCCCTGTCTACATCAAATGAGATTAAGCCAAAAGGTGGCTAGGCATATCATAACTGTATGGCTGATGACTTTAACAATACTTATGAACAGGTTGTTGGGAGAAAATATATTGATGGAACTGATAGCTAGGGTCTTACTGATTCTATGGCAATGATGATCAAAAGATATAAAAAGTACACCAAAGGTGGTGGATTCAAAGCTAAGGGGAGTTTTAAGGGGTTCCTTACGAAAATAACCCCCCACAATTATCAATTTACATTTTTAGTCCTATTTAAAAAAAAAAAAAGAACTTACAAAATAACCATGGGTTACCCTTTAAGCACCATTTGATGCTTACGGGGGCTCTTTTGCAATTAATAAAAATTCTGATTTTTTATTTTTTTAAAAATATTATAGGGTGGGTCCCACCCTTACGCAACCCCACCATTTGGTGCGTAAGGGCCCCACATGATTTTTATTATTATTTGTTTTTAATTTTTTTTAAAAATATTTATTTTCTTAATCTCTTTTAAGAATTTATTTCTTTTTATATATTTTTTTTCAACTTTACTTTTTTTTAAAATTATAATTTTTCTTAAAAATATATTATTTTGCATGTTTAGTTTTTTATTTAAATATCCGAATTTTTTTTAACTTTTTTTGTAAAATTTAATTTTTATGTTAATTTTTATTTACCTCTACCAACACCCACTTTATCTTCTTCCCCCGCCCCTTCTTTATCTCCCGTATCAGATTCGCTATCATTACTATCTATTTGCGTTTCTAAAACATAATCAACCACGTTATTGACTAATTGTCACGAACCTCCATCAAAAAAGCGTACTCTAACTTTCTCAATCACATATATTTAATGTAAAAATATTTTTTTTTTAAATTAAAATTTTATAAAAAAAAATAAACTTATCTTAGAAAATTAAATTTTTAAAAATATAAACTTTTACAATTTCACAAATTTGAAATATTATTA